TGGGAATAGATGCCACGGATTCTCTTCTCTCTTCTCGTCTGCTCCCAATGCGGGCAGCTCAAAATTCTCAAGAAGGATGCGCGGCGCATGATATCTTAGCCACAAAGTAGAGCTTCCGGCACTTTCCTCACTGATTTCGATCTGCGCTAAACCCTCGACACCACACAAAGAAGGGCACGGCCCACTTGGCTCTGTAGCGGGGACAGCGGGACCGGAAGCCCGCGCAGTCTCTACTGCCACCTTGACGCGGTGAAACATCCGCTGGCCCGTGCGGGTGCACGTCAGGCGTAGCTCCACGATTCGGTCGTGCGCTTGCGTTGCGGAATCCACGACACAGTCACGCGTCGCGCCGGCCGCACGCTTGACCAGGTCGGGGGCGCGGCGCACGAGGCTGCTGGAAATCTGACCGCCCAGGGCCATCAGGAATGGGAAGGGCGTGAAGGCCGACAGCGTGCTCCAGACGAGCCCGCCGTCATGACGCTCCGCCATGTCGCGACGGGCGTCACGGACCATCTCCGCCACATGATACATCCTCGACGCACGGGAGGGGCGAATGCAGTCAACTACACTCGGCTGCACGCTTGGCCACTCTGGTGCATGACGCCACAGTTCTTTTGGCTACAAAAACTGTAATTTGTCACGAGCTATTACAATTATGACCGCTTGGTATGTATAGTACATGTACTGTACAGAGCCCCTTTCCCTAATCAAATCTTACCCCCCTACTGGAGTCTGGTGTCTGTCTGTCAGTCCGTCCGTAACGGGCTAGGGTTAATTAATGTAACGCAAATATGGGCGTTCTACTGGCTGCCGAGCGCAGCGAAGGCGGCCTCGATTCGCTAAAAAGCTGTCGAGCGCAGCGAATGCGGCCACCATTGGCTAAAATCGGTATTGTGTTTTGTACACACTATATGTGGACTACACATCGTACTTAAAAGCACCGCTTAAATTTTATTTTGCTCTCATTTTCAGCTGCGGTTCGCAAGGCCACGCAAAGGGCGCTGCCTGTGTACGCGTTAGTTAGCATAATTAAAAGGCGCCGATAAGCACACACGTACTATATTGTCGTAGGAGCTGTTGAAAAAAATTGTAGGCTCTGGGGACTTTTATTTCGGCCTCAATCGAAACTTTAGTACTTATTGAATTTAGAATGCTGTTTTAGGCTTCGTAGTACTGCTGTACTAATTTAATTTACAGTATTATTTTTTTAGTACTATTATCAAGGCATTTCATATTTTTACTTGCAGTCATTTGTAGTAGTAGTACACATAAAAATTATATCAGCGTTTAATAATAAATAACAATTGTATTACTATTAATAATAATGTGAAAACTTTAAAATATGACTATTGTGGCTTACACCCCTGCACCTCCGTAATAAACTGTTGTCTTCCTTTGTATTTGCGCGCGTAGTGTGCGACCTTCAGATATTATGTGAACTTTCCAACAATATACGTTGTGTACATCAAACAAAATGGGAACAGCGTTTGTGATTAAGTTGGCGCGGATGCACATGTCTAAGCAAGGACACGAAACACGAAGGAATACCGACCTACACTATGTACACGATGGGATAGAAGAGCAACACGAAGCACGGAAGGCCATGGACGATGATAGAAGACTTAGCCGATGCAAACCACAAAGTTTTATAAGTAGCGTGAAAGATGAAAGAGCACGCAGCCATGAAAAGAACCGATGGATAGAACATGACAGGAACGTACGGGCCACGGAAGGGAACTAAATACATAGACACCCCAGCATGCTGAAAAGCACGGGCTACGGAAGAGCACGGACGTTCGAAGCCACGGTAGAACACGTATCGGTGAGAGTGCACAGAAACAATACTCCAACAACACCACGGGTAAACATGGAGCACAGTCAACCGACCAAACGTGAAAACGCGATGTACCATAAACGGAAGATCATCCGAGCATTGGAGCCCGATATTAGGGTAGAATCGAAGCTCACCGAGTCCGACAGCACGACACTACGGTAGCTAACGATCTCACGGACGACAGACCCACCGCAACATCGCAAGCTAACACGATAGCATGGACTGTGCCACTAAGCCATAGGGGAGCATAGCCACAGAAGCTATAGACGGGAGATCTTTGAGCCACGGAGCACGATACCAGCGTAGAAGCTCAGCTCCCCGAGCCACGGAGGACAGTAGCACATTAAAACTCGATTGCCCGGACGGCAGACCAGCCACGAAAATCACGGGGGTGCTTGGGGTGACCACGATTGCACACCGTGGAGCACGAAGCCCATGTAGAGCACGATAACACGGGCAACGCAGATGCACTACGCGAGCACAATACCATAAATACCATTACCACACCGCGATTGCTCCATAGCGTCGTAACGCGGTCGATGGAATCTTACCAGGAGAGCGCGATACACGGGCGACGGAACAACACGACTGCGTGGAGGCACCAACCCACGGATTAGGACCCTTCAGGTAGAGTACTTGGATGGGAAACCAACGACCACAAAAGACTATGAACCACGAAACCAGTGCAGCCCCCGTAAACGTTTGAGATCAGGAAATAGTTAGCATCCACGAAAGAGGGTCATACTACTGAAGAGCATGAGCCCAAGAGAGAGGGTCCATAATTACCAAGCATCATGGACCACGGGTGAGCAGGAAACCACGATGCCGGGAAGATCACATAAGATCGCAGGCCATTGAAGAACATGACTACAACCTGTAGTACGGATAACCGAAATGTACCAAATCACGATATTGTACGGGTCCACATGATACTACGGAAAGGCAAGTGGTTAAATACACGATGCCAAGATCTACGGGGTGAACCACGCTCTCAAAACACGCGACAGCAAGAAGCACTTAAATTTGCGGCCACCTCATCTACAACAAACCATGCCACTCCGCCGCGTAGCGGCGGCGAACGGCTAGTCTTACCCCCCTAGTGGAGTCTGGTGTCCGTCTGTCCGTCCGAGGGTAGGGTTCTAGAATGTAACGCAAATACGCGCATTCTACTGGCTGCCGAGCGCAGCGAAGGCGGCCCCCATTGGCTAAAACAGGCATTGTGTTTTGTACACACTGTATGTGGTCAACACATCGTACTTAAAATGTACCGTTCAAAAATCATTTTGCCCCATTTTCAACTGTGGGCCGCCACCTCATGCGAAGGGCGCTTCCTGTGTACGCGTTAGTTAGCATATTTGAATAGCGCCGATGAGCACACACGTACAATATCGTCGTAGGAGCCGCTGCAAATTTTTGTAGGCCCTGGTGACTTATATTTCGGCCTCAAACGAAACTTTAGTACTTATTGGATATAGAATGATGTTTTACGCTTCGTAGTACTTTTCTAATGAGTTTAATTTCTATACTGTTTTGCGTAGTACTATTTTAAATACAATTCATTTTTTAACTTGCAGTTATTTGTAGTAGTAGTACACATAATTGCTATATCAACGTTTGATAATAAATAACAAATATATTACTATTAATAATAATGTGAAAACTTTAAATACGACTATTGTGGCTTGCCTCCGGGAAAAAGTGTCACCTTCCTTTGTATTTGCGCGCGTAGTGTGCGACCTTAAGATATTATGTGAACTTAACAACAATATACGCTGTGTACATCAAACAAAGTGGGAACAGCTATTGTGATTCAGCTAGCGCGGAGGCACATGTCTAAGCAAGGACACGAAACACGAAGGGATACTGACCTACACTATGTACACGATGGGATAGAAGAGCAACACGAAGCACGGAAGGCCATGGACGATGATAGAAGACTTAGCCGATGCAAACCACGAAGTTTTATAAGTAGCGTGAAAGATGAAAGAGCACGCAGCCATGAAAATGACAGATGGACAGAACATG